TACAGGAATAGATGTAATATTGGATGGAATATTCGACGAGTTATCATCCTGAGGGGTGGAAATGGGCACAATCGTGTCACCGTGATGACTAATGCTGGGAGAGATACTTGATGCAGGTGATAAGTTGGAAGAGGAATCATCAAATTCACAATCAAGGATTTGAGTGTTGATGCTTATGTCGTTAGCGATGGAAGGAGTTTGAAAGTCGTGATATGGAAACATGGTTTCAAAAAATTGAACATCGCGAGAGACATATATTTTGTGAGTGTGCATATCGTAGATGCGGTATCCTTTTTGATTAAAAGGGTAACCGACAAAAATACCAGGTTTGGCTCGTTCATCGAATTTGTGTTGAATGTTCATATTTTTGGAAAAACAGAGACATCCAAACACACGAAGTGATGAGTATGAAGGAGGAGAACCGAGTAAAATTTGATGAGGAGATTTATATTTCAGGATGGGAGTAGGAAGTTTGTTTATGAGATAAACGGCAGTGAGCACACATTCACCCCAAAAGGAAAGGGGTAATTTCTCTTGGAAACGTAATGCTCTTGTGACGTCGAGAAGATGACGATGCTTGCGCTCCACAATGCCATTTTGTTGAGGGGTTGCAACGCAGCTGCGTTGATGAATAATGCCATGATCATGAAACCATGTTTAGATTTGTTTGGACAAAAACTCCAAACCATTGTCGGAACGAATAGCTTGAAGTTGGGGAAGAAAGATTCCCCCATCGCCGGAATTAATTTTATTAATTTTAGTGTTGAATTGGCGATTGATTTGATTAAAAAAATGAATTAGCATAGTAAATGTTTCAGATTTATGTTGCATGAGATATAACCAAGTACATCGTGAATAATCATCGACAATTGTTAAAAAATATCGTGATCCATTGTGTGATGGAGTAGAGAATGGACCCCAAATATCGACATGAATTAACTCAAAACAATGAGATGAATATGATGTTCTTGAAGAAAAAGGTAAACGTGATTGTTTTGCACGCGGACAAACATCACAAATAAAATCTTTATTCGCATTAATATTTGGAGAGTTCTTAACAATAAATTGAAAACGGGAAATAGATGGGTGACCGAGGCGTAAATGCCATAGGTCAGCCTTATTACATTGCTTAGAACTAAAAAAAGAACTTGGTGGATGGTCAACACAATAGTGATCGTTGTCATCTTTATTTAATGGTGGTTCTTCATTCAAGTAGAAGAGTCCATTCCGAGCACTACCCCGACCAACCGTCTTCTTCGTTGCTCGGTCCTGAAATATGCAACCAGAGGATGAGAAAATAATATCACAATGTATTGATTTTGTTAATTGTGAAAGAGATAATAGATTATATTTGAAAGATGGAATGTGATAAACATTCGTAAGTGTAAGTGACGGCGAGCAATGAACATTGCCGATGTGTTTCACGGACGCGTGAGAGCCGTCGAGTAATTGAACAAGTATAATTTTATGAACAGGTGAATATGAAGAAAAATAAGAAAGAGATGTGCGTATGTGATTTGAAGCGCCAGAATCAATAATCCAAGAAAAAGGAACACAAGTAAAAGCGGTACCTGCTAAATTCACAGATGATCCCATAGTGTCCTCTTTGGCTAAAAGAGATAGGAGTTTTTGGTATTGTGCGCTTGAGAGTTGAGTAGCGGAAGTAGATGAGAATGGTTCAGATTTCTTTGGTGGCTTATTTGGAAAGCCATGAATCTGATAGCAAGTAGCAATAGTGTGACCATGCTTATTGCAATTCTCACAGTACGGACGCTACCGTTTTCCTTGAGTGCGATACTGCACTTTAGAAGCTTGAAGCGCTGCTGATTCCTCAGCAGGGAGGGGTCGAAAATTAATCTCTTGTTGTGTCTCTTCCTGGCGTACGATGTTATAAATACGCTGAATTGAAGGAAAGGGATCCATGAGGAGAATTTGGCTACGGACGGCCGAGAATCGGTCATGGACGCCCTGAAGAAATTCTATGGCCCGGTCCTGATTTTGTTGATCAATAATACTCTTGGTATTACCGCAGATGCACGGATTGATAGGTGCGATGGAATGGAGTTCATCCCAGAGAGATTTCGACTGAGTAAAATACAGAGATACAGACATGCCCTCTTGTTTTAGGGCAGAGATAGATTATTTCAATTGATAGATTTTCGGAGCGTTGGACTGAGATAAACGATCCTTGAGATCGGTCCAGATTTGTGCCGCCGTTTCAGCATAGAGAATGCTAGGGCGAATCTCGGTTGAAACCGAGTTGAGAATCCAGCTTGCAACCATATCGTTGCAGCGGCACCACTTAGAGATATCATCGGCCTTCTTTGGACAGATTAGGGTTCCATCGACAAACCCGAATTTGTTTTTTGGCACGAAGTTCCATTGTTACGGCTCGGCTCCATGAACCATAGTTGTCGACCGTGAGCAGAGGTGTAACAAGGACAGTTGCAGGGTTGTCAGAATGATGGATGACACATGGATCGGTGTTGGAGGTGGTGGAGGATTGATTATTGGTGGGTGGTGGAACATCAGACATGATGATGCGAGTGAGTGAGTGAATCGATGAAGAAGGATTGAAACATGATGATAAACACAAACTGAGGGATATTAACCAGAGAAAAACTGATACCATATAAGTTCTTGAATATTGTATCGGAATTTGTTATATTTATTCTTGTAATGATGTACATATATATATATATATATATATATATATATATATATATATATATATATATATATATATATATATATATATATATATATATATATATATATATATATATATATATATATATAAGAGTACAATGATCTGTATACTAATTGCCTATAATTGTCTAGTCTATAATTGCCTATAATAGAAATCATATTTTAAATACAATTATGATACTATTTCCTGATATACTTTGACAGCTATATGGATATGCATTGCCATCATGTTTACACGCCTATAGTAATTATATTGCCAGCACATGTTTGTTTGAGTTTGACCTTCTTGAATGTCTTGATATTTGCTTTGACCTTCTTTAATGTGAATAATATGTGCTTATCCTTAAGATCTTCAACCAAATATATGGATGATTAAAATCCCCTTTCTCCCATCCACTCTCCTCTTTTAAACAAAACATATATCTAATTCTTCTCCTCCCTTTCCTCTCTCCCCCATGAAAATTTCTCCACTCTCATCTCCTCATGCATTAGTTAACGTTCATCATTTGTTTCTAATAAATTTATATTTATAAACATATAGAAAAATATGGTATTGAGTTTAATTTTGTAATAAGATTAAACATAAGAAAATTATAAGACTCTCAGTCAATCCTAGTGGTAGTGATTGAACATACACTTGTACTTTAACCGTGCCTTTTTCTAATTTATATATATCTTATTTGCCTTTAAAAAACAATAATTAAATATGTTTTTTTTCATTATAAATTATCAAATTATCAAATGTTTTTAAGTTCTTATAAAAAAAATTTATATGATTTAATTTTTATAAAATTATTATGCACGTAATTTTAGTTTCTGCTATTAAACCAATATGTATTTTTGAATAATTATTTTACAGACATATTTAAAATATTATAAAAAATTCTTCGAATTTTTTTTTTTAAAATTTGATTTTCAAATCAAAATTTTCATTCTTTTTATCAATATTTTTTGAAATTTTAAAAATTCATGTTTAATTCTTCTCATTTTAAAAAATCGTAAAATTTAAAAAATAAATATTATATAGTATTTTAAATACTTATGAAAAAAGTATTTAAAAATTTAAAAGTAATTAAATAGTTTTTAAAATTTTAAACAATAACAGTGATTAAAACTATATGAATACAAATTTTATAAAAATTAAAATATATATTATTTTTTAATAAATATTAAAAATAAAAATTGAGATATTTGTATAGAAAAAAATATATTTAACAAAAAAAAAATAATGGTTGAGGGTTACATAAATTTTTGGAAAATTATAACGGTTATATGTTGCAGAGAATTATGGAAAACTTTTGAAAAGTATAAAGTTTTCTTGTGTTTGCCAGTTTGTAAATTGGATGGATCTTTGATTAGTTATAATAGTTGTATTTAATATTGTTCAAATCTGTTTTTTTTTTCCTTGCTAGATCATAAGTAAATTACTTCTTAAATCCTCCTCTTTTTTAATTAAATAAAAGACAATAATTAAATGAGAATAATGATATTGTAGAACTAAATTCATTTTTCAATATATCAAATATATCTGGAATCTTTTATTATATAAAATTTATTATTCTCACATAATTTTTTTGATAATAAAAGAACAAATTTTTAGGGAATATTTATTTCAAATTTAAGAATTAAGTTTAAGAAATAATCTTTAAAAAATGATTATACCCATGTTTGTTAAGAGTTTGAAAAAAAAATATTCTTAAGAATAAATATTTTAATGAATAAAATAATTTTCAATAACTTCTATAATTTAAATAATTTTATTCTCATATAAAAAGGAGGCGAGAATGTTCATTCTCATAGAATTTCATATATTTTTTTTATAAAAAAATATAATTATTAGTTTTTTTTTTAAGAATATCAAATAACATATTAAATATATAATTTTTTTTAAAATATCTAGGAATCAAACTTCTTTATTTTTATTTTCAGATAATTTATTTTTGAGAATCTCTTTCGAATCCTTGAACCAAATACACTTTTAAATCATAATTTTGATAGAGTACTAATATCTCTAAAAAAAATTATTTATTTTGAAAATATTTTTTACGGAACAAGTTCAAAACATCAAATAGATAACTCATAACATATTAAGTAAAAAAAACCTCATTCCACATAATTCAACTTTAACTCAAGCAATGTTCACTACAATAATATATAATAAAATAAAACCACTTCAATGCACTTAAATAACCAATTCACGTTCTTTTTTACATCACCATGCAAATACAAAACAATTGAAGTACGTTACTTACTCTTATATTGTTCTCTAGCGAACAAATCAAAACCATCCATCAACACGCACCACAATGATAAAATCCCACAAGTTCATCAATGGATCCCAATTGTGTCTCACTTTCAGCACTCTCAAGCATCCAGACCAAATGTTCAAACAAAACAACCTCACAAGAAACAACCACAACACCATCCTCACATCCACCATTGCAACAAGACCTATCAACTAGCTCCTGAAAAACCGGGTGCTGAAAAACTTTGGAGTTCACGAGATATCGGCGCCGCGACTTTCCGACGTAGACAGCATGAAGCTTTGGTTCCTGTTGCTTTTGCTTGGAGGAGGAAGCCCTAGAGTTTCTACCGTTGCGGCTTAGTTTGGTTAATGAAGGCCATTTTTTGATAAATGATGTTAGCTTTGTTAGTTTTGCAAACTTGACCATTTTGAGGAAGGTGTTGGAGGAAATGTTTCAATGAAAGGTTAAGAGAAAATATGTAAATTGTGAAAGGAGTGATCACAAAATGGGATGGAAAGGTTAGGTTATAAAGAGGCATTGTTTAAGGAAGTGATGATAATGATGATGTAAAGTGAAGGACTAAACATGTGTTAAGGCCCATTGTTTACAGCTAGTATGGGGAATAGAAAAACCATTTTCTACTTCATTGGTATCTTGTGAGAGGTTTTTCAAAATGATAATTTTTTTTTACCTTTTTACATTTTTGTCCTTTATTCCATCTTTTTTAATGATTTTAGGGGTTGTTTACAGTCATATAATGAGACCGTTTGATTTTTCTCAAAATAATTAATTTTTGAGTTCATTTAATAAATTAGTATTAAAAAGGTATTATGAGTTAAATATGTTATTGGTCTTATACACTTTTTGTTGCTAATTTTACTCCATACTTTTTTTTACAGTTTATATATATTTCACGTTTCTAAATACTTTTTTAATACTGTATTATTGATAAATTTTTAAAATACTTTTAGTTTAATAACTTATTAATTTATTCTTTATTCTTTATTTATATACCTATAACTTTAGGCTAAAGATTAAATAGATAAAGTTATTAGATAAAGATGTTTGACTAATTGGGTGCGAGAAATCTTCTTAGGTGGTATGACAATTATGCTGAGTTGGATTAATTTTTAAAACTTTGATTTCTATGGGAATCGAATTTAGGAACACACGCATAGAGACCAAACATCTAGCTACTGGACCATCTCATTTTGTTCGTCGTAGTCTTGCTCCTAAAACACTAATTAGCACAAAAAATGAAAATAGAACAAATCTCTCTTCCATTAGATCTCTAGAACGACCTTGACAGTCCCACAACCCGATAACCCAGACACAAACCCAAATTCAACCCCAAAATTCGCAAAAAAAACGATTTACGCAATCAGAATTTGATTAATTTGACTAGTTATTCGCAAATTAGGGGTTATTGTTCTATTTCCGAAGTTAGGGTTTTGTAGAATTTGGAGGAAGCATGATGGGAAGAGGGAGATGTTCTTACACAGATAAGGTATTGTTATTCCTTTCACTGCAACTGCAATTGGAACCACTGCGTCGGAAACAACAGAACACCTCTTCGAATTTGTATGAAGAGGTTGTGGACGTGGTTGAGAGAGTTGAACTTATTTCGAAAAATGAAGAAGAAAACCATTTGAATCCTACTGTGTTGTTTGTGTTCCATTCTTGCAACAAAAATTGATTTTCAGTTTATACATACAAATCATTTGAATTTGTGTTTGTTTGTTTGTTTTTCATGTTTCAGTTGTACTTATGGAGAAAGGTGTAGATTTCTTCATCAACAACTAAATCAACAGCAGCAAAAATCTAATGGTTTTGGAGGAAAGACCAATTCATATCAACAACTGAATAAAAACCCTTTTGAATTTGGACCTGCTTCTGCCTCTGCCCCCAACCAACAGCAAAAGAACAACTCTTTTGGTTTTGTATCACAAAACACCTCTCAGTTAAATGGGCCCCCCAAACCAACTCCAGGTTCTTACTCTTTCCATATGCATGTATTCAGTTAGCTATTTGAGAGTTTATATAATGAATGTTTACATTCAATTAGTTGTTTGTATTAAGCAATGATAGTGTAATAAAATATTGTTAAACTTGTGTGGATGTTTATTTATTCATGAGTTAGACTGGACGGATAATTATATTGTATGTATAATGGAGTTTTATGATCTAAAGGTATTGAAGTAGTATTTAAATGTGTCGACATATTCAATGTTAGAGAAAGAATTTTACATATTGTATTGCAAGATTATTCAATCTTTCAGATGTAAAAATAATTGAATTGGGTCTGCAATGGTATTTGATAGAAAGATGTGTTCACTATGTGAAAATAACTTATGCTATTGTTCTCTCTTTGGAGGTGGATTTGGAAGAGAGATTTGTTTTGTTTCCAATTTTTGTTCTAATTAGTGTTTCAGGAGCAAGACTAAGAAAAACAAAATGAGATGGTTCAGTGGCTAGCCATTTGTTTTCTATGCGTGTGTTCTTGGGTTCAATTCCTATAGAAATAATTTTTTTATAGAATTAATCCAACTTAATCCAACTCAACACAATTTCCATGCCACCTAGGAAGATTCTCCACGTCCAGTCAGCCAAACATGAAATAGAGATGCCTGGAAACAAAATCTTTGTTTTACAAGGGGGGAATCATAAAAAAAATCCAGAGGAAAATATCAAAACTCGCCCTATTGGTAGGTGTGATACGGTGGAAGAACTGACTTGAAGGTTTTGCGTTTGATCGCAAATGTTGCAGTTAGCAAGAGTCGCCACCGACTTTTCTTTTATCCAAAAGGAAAGGTGAAAAAGCACAGGAAAGACCTTTTAGATTGTTTCTTGAGTTCGGGGGTAGATTATGAAAAGAGAAGGTATTAGCACCCTTTTCAACCATGGTTTTCCATGGGCTCTTAGTTACTTGCTAGATCACTTACTTTTGTTTGAAATTGTGCTTTGTGTGGTTTTTGAAAGTATTTTGTAAAGAGGCCATTGTTTAGGCAAACTTTGTAATGATTCTCGTTCGTAAGAATGTATACAAAGATGTTGATCTTTTGAAAATATTTTCAAGTTTGTAAGATGTTTTGAAAGTGTAAGTGTTTGTTTTGAAAATAGCAAGGATGTTTATTTTGAAATGGAGAAAGTATTTAGGAGCAATCTACTTACTCAAATGTCTTTCTTGTTCATTTTCTCTTCCTTTGACATTGTTGTCTTACCATTGATTTGGTAAGCAACCCTATCTTTGGATGTAAACGGGACGGACATGGGTCATCGTATAGCCATGATTAGCAATGTTGCAAGGTATCTTAGCATTCTTTTTTTGAGGGACTAAGATCATTTGTAAGGCAACTTTAGATAGCGTAATCGAGAGACTATGATCTTGTATTTGTTTGTTTTTGTTAAGATACCTTACATGCGTAATATGACCATTTTGTATAAGGCAACTAAGTGGAATAACCCTAGGGGTGCTTGTGTGCAAGTGTGTTATTTTTATGCTTGATTTTGTCTTGAATTAGGGTTTTCTATTTGATTGATTTTATCTTCCCATACAAACCCTAATTACTAGCATGTTATGTAAAAACAATAAATTGCAAAATTTAAAGTTACTACGCTATTACAACATTTGTGGGAGGGGGTATACAATTTATGAATGGAGATTGCAATAATATAAACCTAATTAACCAAATTGAATATTGTACAAATAATTGAAGAAATATATAAAGTACAAATGCAAATTGAAAGAAATGATCTTTATGTTTGGATTTTTGTATGAAAGAGGTTTTAACCTAAACCTAATTAGAGAAAAAAGATAGTTAAATTAAACTAACTTAAGTTAAATAAGAAAAATAAATTAATTAAGAAAATATTTTTGAATAAAACCCTAATTCTATTTAGTTGATTAAAAGAAAATAAGTTTAAAGAAAAAATATTTTTGTATTTTTGTCATGAAAATAATATGTGGTGTTATGGAATATTTTTGTTCTTTTTTATATTAAAATAAATATATTTAAATAAATAATAATCTAGTTTTAAATTTATTTACAAGGAAATTAATAAAAGTAAATAAAGTATAACGAATAAAATATTTTTTTATGTGAAAAAATATTTAAATTATATCAAAATATAAATCTATTATTTTTATACTTTTTATGATTTTTTTTTGGTATTTTAGAAAATATATTTAAAAGGAAAAATAAAATAAATAACTGAATAAAAATAAATGGGTCAGGGGGTGCCAAAAGTAGGCAGGGAAGTATGCTAGAAAAAATAAAAAAATGCCAGGCCCAAAGGGCCCAGCGCCTACAAAAAAAGATGTTAGGAAATCAGAAAAATGAAAAAAATGTAAAAAGGGGGGTTCACATTGGTTCGAACCCTCGCCCTTTAGGTAACACATGACTTAGTACGCGCGCGCTTGTCACTGAGGTGGCTGTTTCATCCGGTCATATAACCAAAGCATAAATATATATTAGAAACTATTTTCTGAAGGCAACTTCATCTTCAACCTCGCGCCTAGCCGGACCACTTGTATCTTCCTCATCTCTCCACAAAAATGGAAAGTTCAAACATGAAAGTTGTGGTGTTTCTTCCCACGACTTCAACCATATAACTTATGTAAGCTAAAAGTTAAAGATAAAATTTAATTTTACTGGCCCTAAATTGAAACCTAATTTTCTCAGAAATTTCAAATCCAAAATTCTCTATACACAGTCAATATAAATGGGAACTATGAACATGGTCAGCTTTAGAGCAAAGATATCTACATTTTGTTTTCACAAATCAGGATCAAATGATGCTTGTATGAAGAGATAGAAGTTTGAAAATTTACCTCTTGCAGCTAGAGTCATGAATAGAGTTTGAGTAATTTTTGAGAGGGCCTGAGGATCTATTTAGCTTGCCTGTGCCTCCCTGAGTGTTTTGCAATCCTTACTTTGTTCTGAAACTTGTTGGAACTCTCTACTCAAGTCCAACTGTAATGGAGATTTTTGAAAATGGTGGATGATGAAGATGAAGTTACAAAAGTGTAACGGGTGTTGAGATGAGTTCTATATGATGTATGTGAAGTGTTTGGATGGTTAAAAGTGGAAACTCATGAGTGGAAATGGAGATGGGTGTTTGAAGCTCAAAAAATGGAGTTTTGGCCAGTTCTGACTTATGAAGGCTTGAGGGTGTTTTAGGGCTTGTCAATAAACGTGTCCTATGTTGCACATAGTCTCCCTAAATATAAGCAAAGGGTTAGAGGTTTTGAAATGCTCAGAAAACAAGAGATCACATGTTATGGATTTTGCCTTGTTTTTGAAGCAACATTGACAAGCATTGTTCCAAGGCAAGGTACAAGGCTTGTAGAGTGGATGAAACTTTTAAACACACTTGTTCTGATTGTGTAGAGTGTGTTTGTGCAGAAAGAATAAATGCAAGGCTCA